TGAGGTTAGCAGGGAAGTGTACAGGGGGTGAGCAGGGCAGATAATAAGATTAGCTGTTTGTATGGCAGTGCACAGAGGCTATTACTTTATAGGGCAATGTACAGGGTCAGCAGGGTTGAGGAAAGGGGTCAGCAAGGCAGTGTACATGAGGTCAGCAGGACAACGGAAGGTATGGCATTGTACAGGGGGTCAGTAAGGCACAAAGTGTACAGAGGTTAGCAAGGAATAGGACGGGGTCAGCTTAACCAAGGATACTGGTAAACTGAGCTGAGGACACGGGTCAGCAGGTCAGATGACAGGGATTAGCAGGGTGGAGGACACTGGTGAACAGGGTGGAGGACAGGGGTCACCAGGGCAGAGGATAGGGGTCACTGCTGGCAGGGCAGAGAACAGGAGTTACTGCTGGAAGAGCATGACAGGAGTCACTGCTGGCAGGGCAGAGAACAGGGGCCACCACTGGCAGGGCAGACAAAAGGGGTCACTGCTGGCAGGGCAAAGGACAGGGATTGCTGCTAGAAGGGCAGAGGACAGGGGTCAGTGCTGGCAGGGCACTTGGCAGAGTTTCTCCCATCCCTGCACTATTCACAGCCTGGGCACAGGCAGCATTACTCCTCTATACACCACACATAGCTGAGATCACATTCCCTTACACACAGCCACCATCTGCACAGTGTGTAGCTAGATACTTTGTTGCTGTTCTGACCTGTGAAATTCCCTGGTTGGAACAACAGTGCAGCAGTGCAGAGATCCCAACTATTTCAATGTAGGGATGGCAGAACCAGTATGGACAGTTGGGCAGCAGCCTTAGATAAGCAGGGAGTGGCAGTGATCTTTTTTCTCTCACTGCCTAAAGCCTGAGTTCACCTTCAAAATATGTTTCATGTTCCCCCCGGATTTAGGGTAGTACGTGTAACATGTTGCAGCTCCTGCCCCAGTTGAGGGTCTTCTCCCTGCACAAGCTGTCACTTTTTGAAAAGAGCATGGCTGTGCGGATATCCGCCTATACAGCTGCATCATTCATTCACAGATTCCTGTGAATGAATTTATTATTATTATGATTATTATTATTATTATACAGGATTTATATAGCGCTGACAGTTTGCTCAGAGCTTTACATTATGGTGCGAGACAGTACACGAGACAGTACAGTAACAATAACGATTCAATACACGAGGGGTTTGAGGGCCCTGCTCCTTGGAGCTTACAATCTAGGAGTGAGGGGATAGTGGTACAGGAGGAAATAGCTGTGGGGGATGGAGTGGTAGGAAGAGTGGAGGAGTTCAGTAATTAGCTGAGGGGGGGTAGGCTTCCCTGAAGAGATAGGTTTTCAGAGTGTGCCTAAAGGTGAGCAGGGTAGGTGATAGTCTGATGGATTGGAGTAGGGAGTTCCAGAGGATGGGAGAAGCCCTGGAGAAGTCTTGGAGACGAGCATGGGAGGAGGAGACCAGGGAGCTAGAGAGTAGGAGGTCTTGCGAGGAGCGGAGAGTACGTTTTGGGTGGTATTTGGAGACAAGATCGGTGATGTAGTGTGGGGTAGTATTATGAACAGCTTTATACGTCAGTGTTAGCATTTTGAATTTTATCCATTGGCAAATCGGAAGCCAGTGGAGGGATTAGCAAAGGGGGGTGGCAGATACAGAACGGCTAGTAAGGTGGATGAGTCTGGCCGCGGCATTCAAGATAGACTGAAGCGGGGATAGCCTGCGGTGAGGTAGGCCAATGAGGAGAGAGTTACAGTAGTCGAGGTGTGATATAATTAGGGAGTGAATGAGTTGCTTAGTGGTTTCCGGGATTAAGAACGGTCACATTTTGGAGATGTTGCAGAGGTGAAGTCTACATGAGTTTGTCAGCGATTGGACCTGGGGCTGGAAGGACAGATTGGAGTCTAGGATGACACCTAGTACTCTGGCTTGAGGGGTGGGACTGATGGTAGTGTTGTTGGTCTTGATGGAGAAGTCGGGGGGGGGGGGGGGGGGGGGGGGGGGGGGGGGGAGGGGGCTGGGGGGGAAACTAGGAGCTCGGTTTTGGAAAGATTTAGTTTGAGGAAGTGGAGTGACATCCAATCTGATATGTTGCTCAGTAGGCTTGTGAATAAACTACAATTATTGTCTGCCACTGCAGCAGATGGACTTGTGGTTTCAATGGGCCGCAGGCGCACTGATGAGTGCTCCCATAGTCCACTGACATGTCCTCCAGCTTTTAAATAGAGGTAGTGGCTGAAAGCTGGACAACATCGCAGGAGTCCACATTGCACCTGTGATCTACTTATATGACAGTACTGTTGTCCAAAGGCATCTCTGTTACTCCAACAGTGGAGTGGAGACACCTCAAGACAGGAAGTGTGTTACTGGCCAAATCATTGGGTTAAAATATAGGAAAAAAGTGAAAAAAAAAAAATGAATGCAGCCACCACATTTACAAATTGGAAAGCCTCAATATATTAACCACTTGTCAACCTCAGACGGTGGCAGTCCAGGGGCGGGTTGCTGTTCATAAATGGCGCCCTCCATTCTGGATTGTGCGCGCTCCTTGGGAGTGCGCAGCACCGTGATCCGGTGCCTGCTGTGTCCTCCAGACACAGTGGAACACCGATCGTCATACGGGACCTCTGTGCGAGGTACCAATCATGTGACCACTGATTGGCCAATCAGCGATCACATGCAGAGTAGTAAGCAAGATGTCACTTCTGACATCATTGCTTACTAAGTGTAAAATCTGTGAATGATCGCAGAGGTCACATGGTACAAGGCTATTCACAACAGCCTTGTAACATGTGACAAGCTGTGACCAATCACAGCTCACACAGCAGGGGCGGACTGACAACTCATGGGGCCCCCGGGCAATAGGGGATCATGGGGCCCCTGTGTCCTTGCCCAAACTCAAAAAAGCCTATGAAAAAGATACCTGCCCCTGGTACCATTTTCATAGGCTTTTTTGAGTTTGAGCAAGGTGCCTAATTGATGGTAGGTGCCTAATTGATGGTAGGTGATGTAAACACTTCCCATTTGGTTTCCATTGATGCGATCTTAAGAGATTCTGAAGACTTTAGCGGCACAATGATAGAGCAGATGACAGCCAGCATTAACTGGAATGGATGATCAAAGATCTGTTTTGTGGAGGGTCACAGTTTATTCAGGAATCTTAATATTCAGATAAAAATGCACAATCACAATAATTTAGGGGCCAGTATTTACATTTTTGCATAAGCTCAGTCATGACTGGCGCTCTTAAACATCTTGGCCAAATGTTCTTTTGCTTCAGTCACCTTTGTCTGGCGTGCCTTTTGTAAGAATTATTAACATACCAGTAAGAGAGAGAAATGCAACAGAATCTTGCATTTTCTCATTCATTGGTGAGTGGTTTCAAGGCAGAAAACTTTACATGAATTATACAGTGATTTTAAGGTGATAGCTTAGATTCCTCAGAACTTTTGAATTATACATGGATTTTGTAGCTACTGTTTTTGTGAGTTACCTAAATTACACAATTCACGTTTAATAACACTAAGCTCATGTTGTAATTTATACATGGGGGTCTAATTGATGAAAGCATTCATTTCTTGGATGGAAAGAATGACAATTGTTTTCACAGTTTTCCCTAGATTACGACACAAAAATGGTCTCTAGATATCACTGATAATAAATCATGTATTTCAGAATATCTATATTACCCATGCTGGACCTGCCGCTGCAGCTTTCTTTTGATTCCCCTGGTGATTCCATTATAGTTCACCTAATCAGGTTCATCATATCTAGTACATTCAAAGCCCAAGGCCAGTCATAAGGCAAGGTCACATACAGATGTGTAGAATTCATTAATACCTTTTACTGCAGGTTACACTCACCATAATAAAACATTTATGTTGGCCAATATTGCTTTGGTTGGTAAAAGTGTTTTATGTACACATTTTGTTTTTTGTCATTTGTTATAGGAAAGGTAGGAATTTCGTTTTAAAGCATTATTTGAAATACTGTATATTGTTTTATTGCTAGGAAACTAAAATGTGCTCTGTTCCTCTACTTCAAAAATTGTTTGCAAAATATTTTAACCTTCACTTTTTTATTGTAGTTAGAGTGATGTTAAAGGCAATAAAAAAAATAACAAATATGTCATATTTACCTGCTCTGTGTTATGGTTTTGCACAGAGCAGTCCCGATCCTCCTCTTCTTGGGTCCCCCGCTACTTGTAGTGCCTCCCTCCTGTCAAGTGCCCCCACAGCAAGCAGCTGTGGCTCATCCCCGCCCCTTCTCTCTCTTCACTGGCTCACTAGCTGTGATTGACAGCAGTGGGTGCAAATGGCTGTCTCAGCCAATGAGTAGGGAGAGTTTCCAGAGAGCCGAGACTCTTATGAACATTCCTGGATCAGGATGGGGCTCAGATAAGTATTAGGGGGGCTCCTACACATAGAATTCATAAAGGTAAAAAACCTTAAGCCTTCACAACCACTTTAACCGCCTCCCACCCACCCTATGGTAATATGACAGACGCAAGGTGGTTTCTATTACGTCCTTCCATTCTAACCGCACATGCGTGGCTCCCGGAGCACGCAGCATAGCGATTAGTGGTGCGCTGTGTCCCTCGGACACAGCGGATCACTGATCCACGGAAAGAGCCAAAGATGTTGGCTTGGCCATGTGATCAGCTGTGTCCAATCACAGCTGATCGCATGTAAATAGGGAAATGCTGGTTATCGGCATTTCTCTCCTCACGAGCTGTCACGCTGACAGCTTGTGAGGAGAGGAGAGCTGGTAATCAGCATTCCTCGGAGGGGACATGTACACAGATCATCAGAGCACTGATGATCAGTGTGCCCTGATGATCTGTGTAGCCCCAGCAGTGCCACCTGTCAGTGTCCATCAGTGCCAGCTGTCAGTGCTCATCCATGTCACCTGCCATTGCCCATCAGTGCCAGATCAGTGCCACATTTCAGTGCCCATCAGTGCCACATCAATGCCACATATCAGTGCCCATCTGAGCTGCCTTTCAGTATCCCCTATGAGTGCCAGTCAGTGCCACCTATCAATGCCACTCAGTGCCACCTGTCAGTGCTGCCAATCAGTGCCGCCTATCAGTGCCAGTCAGTGCTGCCTATCAGTGCCAGTCAGTGCTTCCGGCTATCAGTGTGCATCAGTGCCGCCTATCAGTGCCCGTCAGTGCTGCCTATCAGTGCTGCCTAACAGTGCCAGTCAGTGCCACCTAACAGTGCCAGTCAGTGCCCCTATCAGTGCCAGTCAGTGCCGCCTATCAGTACCACCTATCAGTGCTGCCTATCAGTGCCCATCAGTGATGCCTTTCAATGCCCATCAGTGCCACCTACCAGTGCCTCCTCATCAGTGCCCATCAGTGCCACCTATCAGTGTCCATCAGTGCAGCCTATCAGTGGCCATCAGTGCAGCCTCATTATCGCACATCAGTGAAGGAGAAAAATCACTTATTTACTAAATTTCATAACAAAAACTAAGAAAAAAAATGTTTTTTTCAAAGTTTTCAGAGGTTTTTGGTTTGTTTAGGGAAAAAACAAAAAAACCCAGGGGTGATTAAATACCACCAAAATAAAGCTCTATCTGTCCCAAAAAATATATAAAATGTCATATGGGTACATTGTTGCATGACCACGCAATTGTCATTCAAAGTGCAACAGCGCTGAAAGCTGGAAATTGGCCTGGGCAGGCAGGGGGGTGACAGTGCATTGTAGGCTAGTGGTTAAAGACAACATACTGTTTACTGTAGTTTTAGATTTTGCTTTATTATTGAAATGCTTATCCAAAGTATACTTTAATGGGCATTCACCTTTTTATTTGCTTACTCCTCTATATTGTTTTGTTATTATATGGACTATAGATATTTGTAGATTAGCCACTAGAGAAAGTTCTGAAGTTCACTACAGTTACTCCGACTCCCTGCTTTACCTCTGTTAGAATAAAGCTGGACATACATGGATTGAAATTCTGTTGAACCGGCCAAGATTTGACTTATCTATGGGCATGATGGTTACACTGAAGTCGATTCACTGATTGACTTCAGTAGAACCAGCCTGTCGGATTTTTTGCTGGCAGGGGAGGCTCCCCACCTACAGAACACAGTAGAGCTGACTGTGTTGATGGGGTAATCAAGTGATTTTCTTTCCTGCAACCCATGGTCGCAGGAAAAAAAATAGCATCATCTATGGCTTGCTTTAGATATGAATAACAATAGGTAATACATTGCTTTCAGTGTAATGGTTGACACAATATTCACCAGAGATTAAAATTTTCAAATAAGGGAAGTGTACACATTTATTAACCATGCAGCGGACTGATACGCATACCTGCCCACCACCAAATGTTACAAGATACGTTTATAGTAAAAAAAATGAAAATTACAGTATATTGCAGTATATGTGATCAGAATATTTATGCTTTAAGGGCTCATTCACATGGAAACTCAGCCCTGTATAGCGTGAAGAGCTGTTTGATTTTGTACATGTGGTGAGCTGCGCATAGGTAGCTCATATTAGTGATGGAAGCACATTGGTTGTAGGGAATCACTATACAGGCAAAGGTGCATTTTACCGTCCCCGGTCAGATCCTTTGTGTTTTTCTCCTGCACATACTTCCAGGGTTTCCCCAATTACTTTTTTGAAACTTGGAAAATTCCTTGTTGGAAAAATCCTTGCAGGGTTCAACCATGACAGTGGTTCCCTGTAGTTTCTGATGGGGAGGGACCACACTACCTCCAGCTAGCAATAACTTCTGTTTAGGGGGCTGCGTACCATCCCTTTCTGTTCTGATTGTTTCTTTGCTGCTTTCAGTTGGGCCTCAAAGGCCTGAAGAACTCTGAACCACACTGCCCACAAGCCCAAGCTATGAACTTGACTGCCTGAGCATTCATACTTGGCTAGCAGGTGAGGTAGGTCCAGGTCTTTCAATATATTCGTTCCCAGCACAACAGGCAATTCCAGGTTTACATGGCTGCAGGTCCCCACCATATCCACTCATCCCATCACCTGGTCTTCAATTTGAATCTTCAGCCAGGTGATGCTTTCCACCAGGATAGGTAGGTTGTTGGCTGATCAGGGGGGTTCACCTCCTTGCAGGCTTACTTCTCTAAAGCTTTAAAAGCCAGCTCAACCACTAGTCTGGCCTGGACCTGATACAGGTGCTCGGCACTCTCCAGTCTCTCCTCCCCTTCTGCCAAGGAGATGTTAAAGCCATTAAATTTAGGTAACAGGGCCAAGGCTCACCCAAGTGGAGCCATGCTGGAGCTCAGTACTCCTTTTGCACCTGCTGCAAGGGACATATCCTGCCAACTGCCACCAAGTGTGGGGAGGTACAGCATAGTGCAAGCAGTAAATACACAGAGTCCAGTTGCAGTAAAACTTGGAACTTGAACAGAATGTCAATTTTGGAAAACACCAAGGCGGGAGAGAAGCACTAGGGAAATAACTCACAGCTCAATGTAGTCAGATGGAGAGGAGATGTGCCGACAGCGTTTGTTTCAGAGGATGAAGCATGACCTGTCCAGTCCTCTCCCAAGAGGGAAGCTCATTTTCAGGATAGTGAGTCCCTAATTTTTCCTATCAAGCGGAGGCTCTCTCCACACACTAGCCACATGCCAGAAGCATGCCAAAAATGTTGTGGGGATGCCTTTCTTCAGCAGGGACAGGGATGCTGATCAGAGTTGATAGGAAGATGGATGGAGCTTAATATAGGGCAGTCTTAGAAGAAAACCTGTTAGAGTCTGCAAAAGACATGAGACTGGGACGGAAGTTCACCTTCCGGCAGGATAATGACCCTAAACATACAGCCAGAGCTACAATGGAATGGTTTAGATCAAAGCATGTTCGTGTGTTAGAATGGCCCAGTCAAAGTGCAGACCTAAATCCAATTGAGAATCTGTGGCAAGACATGAAAATTGCTGTTCACAGTCGCTCTCCATCCAATCTGACAGAGCTTGAGCTATTTTGCAAAGAAGAATGGGAAAAATGTTTCTCTCTAGATGTGCACAGCTGGTAGGGACATCCCCAAAAAGACTTGCAGCTGTAATTGCAGTGAAAGGTGGTTCTATAAAGTATTGACTCAGGGGGGCTGAATACAAATGCATGCCACACTTTCAGATATTTATTTGTAAAATATATTGAAAACCATTTATCGTTTTTCTTCTACTTCACAATTATGTGCCACTTTGTGTTGGTCTATCACATAAAATTCCAATAAAATACATTTACGTTTTTGTTGTAACTTGACAAAATGTGGAAAATTTCAAGGAGTATGAATACTTTTTCAAGGCACTGTACTAATATGGGCTGCCTGCACACAGCTCACTGTAAGTACAAAAACATAAACAAGTGGCTCTTTATGCTATACGAGATTGAACGCATGTGTGAATGAACTCCAAGACAAAACACCTACAGGCATTAATGGATAAGTTCACCCTTTTTCCAAAAATAATAAATGCACATTTTTTTGCAGGGAAACAAATGTGCATTTATTATTTTTTGTTTCTGGAGCCTCTAAAGCAGCCTTTCACAACCTTTTCAACACAGAGGAACCCCTGAAATAGCTTTCTGGTCTCAGGGAACCCCTGCAAAAAATTACTATGTCCAAAACACATGATACAATAGTGTGATGGTCAGTGGGAAAAATGCTTTAACACTTGTGTCATTGGGAATTATTACCCCCTTACAGATAGCTAAAAAGATAATTGGTATCAGTAGAAATGTATCTGAGAGTCAGAAATTTCTCATTGCTCAAGGAACTCCTAGCAACCTCTGGAGGACCCCTGGTTGAGAAACCCTGCTCTAAAGCATTGCATCAGCGATAAGCAGATCGCTGGTGCCATCAGATCTCCTTCAGACCTGTCTCACCTAGTAATCCTGAGAAAAGCACATTATCTGTCTTAGGGTGGCTACACTCACTCTTCCATGCAGGGGCGTATTTACCACAAGGCAAACAAGGCACTTCCCTAGGGCGGTATGTTTCAGGGGGGTAGCACCTCCCCCCAGAAGAAGGGATGAAAGAAGGGACATGCGTGCCATGGAAACCAGGTGGGATCCGAGAGAGGCTGCAGGCTGCTTAATGATGTATGTAGACCCTGACTTATGTTCCCGGGGATGTCCGGAGCTGTGAAGACAAATGTCTTTCTCTCTATCACTGGGGGGGGGGGGGGGGGTTTAGTGGAAGGCACTCCCAGGTGGGGGGCAGGGGTGTTGGTCAAAGACAGGCTCTCCACATGGGAGGGGGAAGGGGAGGGGTGTTGGTTCATGTCTGTGGGGGCAGACAATTGTTGTGTTGCCTAAGGCAGCACGAAACCTAAATACACCACTGCTTACGTGCATCTATGGAGGAAGCCATAGTTGTCACTCAGGAATGGACTTCACACATGCTTTCCTTTCCTTTACATAGGAGGTGGGGGATTAGTAGTTTACTGAAGGAAAATAACATATTTTTCAATGCTTTCAGTTCGTCTCCTGGGAGGTGGCAAGAACAGTGCATTTCCTGCAAGATCAACAGGTATTTTCTTTTGCTTACAGGAAATGGAAATGGAATTCTTTTACATCAGTGGATCTCTAAGCAGGTGCTTACAGGAGTTGGCAGGTCAGTTCCTAATACACTGATCCTGAGAGCGGAGTTTAGTGTGTTCCTGTGAAGTACACACCCCTCGCCCACTAGTAAAACACTCCCCTCACACAGTTAACCCTTTGATTGAATAAAAATGTTAACCCCTTCCTCCCCAGTGCCATTAGTACAGTGTCAGAGTTTTTTTTTTCACTGATCACTGTATTGGTGTCACTGGGGATGTCAGTAACCCTAAGTCAGTTCCCCCAGTGTCAAAATGTCCGCCGCAGTCCGCACACAGTCCCGCCATAAGTCGCTGATCACTGTCATAAATCGCTGAGCATCGCCATTATTATTATAAAACAAAAATCCCAGTATCTTTCCCGCCATTTGTAGACGCTATAACTTTCACGTAAACCAATTCATTTACACGTATTGGGATTTTTTTTAGCAAATACATGTCACAGAATACATTTTGGCCGAAATTTATGACGAAATTTGATTTTTACATTTTTCTACTGGACATGTTTGATAGCAAAAAGTCCAAAATATTGTTTTTGTTCTCAAAATTGTCAGCCTTTTTTTTTATAGCGCAAAAAAAAACCGCACAGGCGATAAAATACCACCGAAAGAAAGCTCAATTCATGGCAAAAAAAGGATGGAAATTTAATTTGGGTGCAGTGTTGCATGACCGCGCAATTGTTAGTTAAAATAACGCAGCACCGTAACACAAACCGCTTCCTGACCACCCTATAGCAGAAATACTGCTACAGGACGGCATGGGTGCGCAAAATCACATACAGTTGTGTCCAAAATTATTCAACCCCCAATGCTGTAAAGGGGTTTAGGGACTATAGTGTACATTTGGAATTGTATTCAGAATCAAATCCTACAAGGACGTTGTAACTACCCAAA